GTCCACTGGAGTGGTATGTTTCCATGTTAGATCCTTCCTATGATCCAATGCAGCTTTATCTCTACTTTTGACCATCCTTTATGAAACCCTACAATTAAATATTAAATCTTTACAATTACTGTAAGTTAAATTTAGAGTAGCCCAAAGTGTTTAGATGCTTTGAAATGGAGCCATACTCTTAAATGAGATGATAATATGCAATGAAAATAATATGAGGATTTGCAAGAGCCTATAATTCATCACAATTAATAAAAGAAATCAGGATTATTTAGTGCAGCAAGCACAACATTATTTATTCAAGCATGAAGCATTTTATCATATAGTATTTATAAAAGCTAAACTATGATTTAAAAAAAAACACAGTTAAGCACACACAAATTAACTTTTTCTTTGATCATTTAACAACAAACAAATCATTTCCTTATTCAAATAAAATTTAGTTTATAATCAAAACTTGTATATTTTTTAATTTGAATTATATTATTTTTCAAGCAAATGAAATGAATCATTTGCTAGTGTATATAAAAATGAGTGGTGATGAGAATTTTGTATGAGGATTTTTAATAAGAAATTCGGATTTATGTCCCAGCTTCTGCTCCGAAGTAAATGAAAGCATTAAAATCAATGGAAAGAAAGAGAACAATAACATCTCTCTCTCTTTTTCTCTTACATATCAAGAACTGGAACTTAAAGGAAATGCAAATATCAACAGTAAATATCGTATGAAAGCAAGAAATTCAAAGTGTTTCATGTTTTCAAATTTCCAAAAATAAATAGCAATGACATATCACATAAGAACTCATAAGTAATCAGCACTGCCATCACTAAGGGGTTCTTCATTTGAATCATCATTATGGTGAACTGCTCTCTCCTCTTCCTCCTCTCCTATAGAGTCCAATGTCGGGCATTTACTTCAAGATTTATGTAAGTTTTAATATATATAGCGTGAGGCGTAAGCCTCAAGCCAGTGGGGCGAGACGGGCCTCAAGGCGGGCCTAAACCAAGTTGAGGCGCAAGCCTCATAAAAAAAAAACTCGAGGCGTAAGCATCGAGGCATTTTTTACTGGAATTGCGCAAAGGCGGGCCTCAAGGCGAGCCTCATATTGCGCAATTTTAAACCATGATGCGGGCAAAAATCTGGGGGATGGGGGCCCGAGGACCTCTTGATGTGAAACGTACATGCGATGGAGTTACTTTAGGAAATTATAGAGAACAATTTGAACAAAGTAATCCAAATTAAAATTATCATTTGTAATAAAAGAGTGAACCTAAGAATTCTTAGTTTTAACTCGCTTAGGCAACGAAGAGCGACATTCGATTAACCAATCAATTCAAGAAAATGCAAAGAATAATTGTACGCTACGACAATAAACAAGAATCCACGAATTAATAAAGAGAACTTTCACCTTTGGAGCCCATACGCTCAACTAATCTAGGCTTTAGCGGAAGAAGAGTCTCCCGGTCGGAAACTGACTCGCGTCGCGACGCGTTGTCTTTGGGTTATGATTTTGGGTTTTCGGTCGACACGCGTCGGGTGAGTTTTTGCGCGATTTCGAGCTCTTTCTCTTTTAAAACCCACCTTGCGCGGTCGACTCGACCCCGACACTAGTATGAGGGTCAACAAGATATAATGATAATAATGTAAACAAAAGAAATTGAGTATATATGTAATTATTTTGAAAATTGCATGAGAAGCTTTGTAATTGACTTGATGATTTAATTATATACGATTCCATTTTAATATTTCTAGTGAATATTAAATGGTCATTAAATGTCAAACATGTTTTGGGATGATTGAGTCAGACTATCTCCAAATTGTCCGTTTATGTTACACCTAATCCTGGCAAGGGAGTGAAAAATGGGGTGTGATACCTACTCTTACAATAGCTTATAAACTTAAACCATACCCTCTAAGAGAAAATAAAAAGAGTTGACAATATATAAGTAACAAAATAAAATCATATAAATACCGTGACAATAGGCATCATGGCATAAATTTCAAACCATATCGAACACTATTCCGCAAAGCATCCCCAAATACCATAGAAAATTATTTCCACCATAAATATCGATATAAATACCCAAAAAAAACAAATTTTACGTATAAAAATATTTAAGTAAAATATATAACTTCAAAGCTAAAATCAATAATCCATCCACGTACCCTTCATAATTTTTGATAGGAATTGCAACTTTAAGATTAACCACAACTCACAAAAAGCCAATGGCATGTCAAATGTATCACTATGTTTGTTCTTAAAAGATCTCATGACAATAAAGATGTGAAATGTGTCCTCTAATCAAGAGATTATGTCACAAAATGGCACCAATAAATAACGATTATAGGCCATAGCTCGGATGTTCCCAAATACCTCCAAATTTCATGAGTGGTGAATCATTGGGTACACTTGATAAGGACATAGGATATAACTTCTATTAGCTATAGTCACTTAAATTTGTTCCCTTAGACAAGCATCCACCCCAAATTTACAAGGTTCCCTTGAACAATGCAATCAATGGTTGCTGAAAAAGATTCTTAAGCCAGCTTGGGTCAACTATCTTCTCTAAGTAAGTAGAGCAGGGTCCATAACAATACTAAACAATCAAACTATAAGATCTTAATCGAGTTATTCACCATTTGCCCCACCACATGCTTTAAGCTAAAGGGATAAATTCCCTTAAATCATAAAAGTAAATTGTTGTTTATATACGCTAAGTACTTAGCACCTATCCAACAACTAACTTATTTGAAAGTTCTATATCATCACTGGGAATGCCAATTAACCATAGGGGCTTGCGCCTATTAAAAACCTGAAACTAAATCTTAAAATCATCTTGAAATGAGAGTGAAATCTATCGGTAGCGCCTATATGAAATCTAACATGTCTTCTAAAAATTTGACCATGACACTCTCTGCATAGTTGGATAAGAATTATCGGAGGCCGCATTTACTTAGCTCTCAAATTATTCCTACTCATAATCGAAACATTCAATGGCATGGAAATATCCCTACTTCATTCCAAATTTGGTGTTGCACATCATTCTCTTCTCGTTGGTATTGATTTTAATGTTTCCAAAAATATTCCTCATTGGGAACTCTATCCTAATAGCTATTCCATTAAAATCTCTTTTATAGCTTCGTCATCACAGCAGCATTATCTACTACTTTAGCTGGTTATAGGATATTATTTCCCCTAGTAAAGTTCAAATTCTGATTTGGATCATGCTATATCGCAAATTCCTTGGAAGACATCTTTTCATGTTTAATATCATTTAATCAAAAATGCGTAGTAAGTCCAATTCTGCATCAGAAAATGTTTCACAACTTTTCTTATATTTCAGAAGGATTAGTAACAATTAGAGAAAGCTTGTAAACTTGTTCTAGATCAGTACTTCATTGAGCATTAACTTAAACTCATTTTCTAATTGAAGAAGTAATTTAGTGCCTGATGTCTTGTTCTGCTCTACTATCTGGATGTTTGGATTGAAAGTAAAGGAAAAATTACATTTTACAACAGAAAAGGAAGGTTGATAATGTTATTTGGTAGTACATCTGCTTGGCTCATTTCTCAACTCACGCGGCTAAGAGAAAAATAGCATCAGACTAACAAATGGATGAGAGAATATTGGGCTGTCAGATAATTTTACTCTATTCCAAGACCACTTTATCTCTTAGCTTTGTTTTGTCTCATTGCTCCAGATTTATGTTGTTTCTCTTCCGAGTGTTCTTGTAATACTAATTACTCGACTTTCATATTAATGAGAAGGGATTTTAACCAAGCCGTACATGCGACATAAAAACTTATCCTGATGCAGGACACACATAAAAATTTGATTTAGATAAGAAATTTTGCACGCTCGATGATTAAGAGAAAATTAACTAAAGCTTGATGTTGATTTAGACAATGAAATAAAACAAAAGAGCGATAACAAAAGCTTAGGATTCAAATTCAAATTTATTTGAATTTGAAATTTGAAATCTTTCCAAATTTAAGAAGATCTAAATTAGGTAAGTCTTCAATTCTTTCTTTATAGGAGATTTGGAAAGAAAGGAAGGAGGGTCAAGTAGGGCCGGCGAGTGAGGGCTTGGATGGTGGGTGGCCGGTGGGGTTGTGGTTTTGGCCGAGAAAGGAAAAGGGGTTATTGCCGGCGGTTTAGAGGGGATTTGGTTGGGTTGAATGGCTTGGTGGTGGGGGAAGTTGGCCGGCGGCAAGGTGGGGGGGTTGGCTAGGGAATCCGTCGGCTAGGAGGGAAGGAGATTGAAAGAAAAAGAACAATAAAACAAACCACGAACCCAGCCATCTCCAAGGTTGATGGGTGATCCGTTTTCCCTCCCTAGGGATTTCTCCAAAGCTCTCTCCAAGAACTTCACAACTCAAATAAGACATGTGCAGGAATTTTTTTCTCATTCATTCATTAACCCTCCAAGAAGAAGAGGGAGGCTTTAAATAGCCAAATACATGAAGGAAAATAACAAAGACACTATTGCCCCTATGGCATACATAAGACAAAACCCTCAAGTGAGGGTAGAAAGGGAAAAGGCACAATAATAAATCAAATAATAAAATAGATCAAAATAAATAGGGACGGCCGTAGCCGTAGATCTCTGATGTCCTCATCATGTCCTTTCAAGTACATATAATTCAATAATAATTAATAAAGAAGTTTATCAAGATTTTCATACTGCAGAAGAACGCAATATAAAATATGCAACTAAAAAATGTATATATGTGAAACATATAATATCTTTTGTTATACCAAAACAGATATAACAACTCGCAGAAAATTTAAGATTCGAATAATTCAATTCTTGGATATCATATCATTTTATTATAGAAAAATATTTAGTTTAAAATTTTTAAAAAGTAAATTACATGCATTAATGCCCATGCAATTTAACTAGCGCATATAAAGTTCATCACATAATTAGCATAAAAACTAAAATAGAACCTTAAATGGCAAAACACAGCAATTATCAAAAGAAAATCAGTTATGCATACCTTAGGATGCTCGCAATTTTTATCGAGCAAAGTTGAATTTGAGGTAAAAAATCATATCGCACATACTCCAGCAAGGAAATGATATGATTATGATCTTGAGATAATACAATATCCAACGGCTGCAATAATGAAATAAGAAAAAATTACAGCAATAAGCCATTCAATAGAGGAAAACTCCTATAATTACAAAGAAATATCAAGAAAATGATCAAAATGATCCTCGAATATTTGAAGGAGATAATATTAGTCCCAGGCCATATAAAAGGTCCAATTTAGTCCTTAGACTCGTTAAATATGACCAAAATTAATCATGCAATCAAATGTGTCAGAAATTCAAGTTGAAGTTAATGGATGAGGTTGAAGGAGGGTATTTCAATAATATACATATTCATGAATTTGTTTATAAAATCTAATTTCTTATTTTTCTTGCTTCCTTGTGTATAATAGTTACAGCGGTGAACTAAGATTGTACAGCATATGGAGCAAGATGATTTTTTATAATAAATAATTTTATTTTCCATTATTTTACATAATACATTGAGATTTTTTTTTTTACTTTGGAATATTAAAATTTTAAATTTGTATATTGATTTTATTGAAATTGTTTTTTTCGTAAGTTTGTTCTTACTAAAAAGTTAAAGTCAATGTATTTCATTACAAATAAATCAAAATAAAGAATATATCAAACAAAATTATTTATTACAAAGAAGAATCTATCCCCACAATCTACATAGTCTCAATCCACTCCTATCGTCAAAAATTGGCTACTATACAAAAAGAAATCTAATAAATAGAAAATTAGATTTTAAAAAATTTCAATATATTTATTCCTAAAATACCTATGTTTTTAACAGCATCCATTAACTTCAACTTTAATTTCTATTATTTTTTTATTGCAAGAAAATTTTGCTCTTATTTAAAGAGTTCATGGACTAAATCAGACATTTTATACAGTACGAGACTAAAATAGCCCACCACAAATAATTAAGAAATCATTTTGAACCTTTTCTCCATAAATACCTGATATAACGGGCGCCAATACTCAGCTAGGAATAGATCTCTTTCAAAAACAAGAATTATAATTTCCAATGAAAGATGAATAGCTTTCTCTAACAAATAGCCATGCACTTGTTTGGTCCGATCATTGATGAGATTGTTTACACCCATTAAAATGATACCCATAATATTGCGAAAAACTACCTTACCACTCATGAAGTCCTAGAAAATATCAAAAAGAAGCTTAGTTAGGATTACCCTTTTCGTTTAGTGTCAAAAACCAATAATAACAATTCAACACAAAAATATATTTGTAAGAAGGATGGTGCATACGTCAACAGGAATAAGAATTTGAACTGTCCTTCTAAATTAAATATTTAAAATTTGAAGCATTTAAAATATGTTTAAAACTATGAACACATGATGTAATACTGTATGGAGAAGAACCAAAAGCTATGACGGGCCTTCATCAAATAACACCCCAAAAAGTAAAATTCAGTGCTGGAACAGACCTTCAACGAAACTGGTGTATACACACTTATCCTGGCTGCACAATAAGCAAATTTGATTCATAAATGTAAAGAATGACCTCAAGAAACTAGGATCTGCAATGCTATTAGTGTACAAGAAAAGATAAGGGAGAAACAGCAATATTCTTGAATTCCATCAACTATATGACCTCTAATGGAACAATAGAATCATTCTTACTGAGAAACGTGGAAGAAAACAAAAACAAGGGAATAAATGATTGCTCCAGCAGACATATATATATATATATATATCCCGACAAATATGAAGCTTTGACTCCCACGCATGTCATCAAAATGTTTCGGGATTGTAGCAATTTATTGCAACTATTGCTTCTGAAATTAACCATGAATATCTAAAAGTACCTTTGCCGGCATCTGGTAAACATAGATGTGGCTTTTCTGCTTGGTAGAGCTCAAACAGTCAGTTAAAAACATCATTGCTTACATTTCAAGTTTCTATAGGACTTGAAATAAGTCTACAATTTCTTTCCAATGAAGAGATTAGCCGTCAACAGCAATCCTATAGCTACCATGGCTTTAAATATCATCCCTGTTGATGTCCTGCCTCTTAAAGACTTAGAAAATAGACCAGTAAAACACTTCACTATAAAGCATCAGATTGATTCCCATGTCAATAATAGATGTGACTAGAGAAATGCATTTGCTGTTCCAGCGTACAGAATCAATAATCTTAATGGGGTAAGTTGAGCAGAGAAAAGCTATCCCCAAACACAGCTCAAATAGGTCTTTAAACATGCTAGACTAATTAAGAACACTACGTTTTTTCTAAGAATTTAAATTCACTGAAATTAAGGAAAAACATTAAGCTTGATGGGAAGTTTTGTTGTATGACGTAGAAGATATTGAAAATAAAATAACGCTGATACAAAATCTCCAGAGAAATGTTGAAGTAATAAGAAGGCCAACATCAAGATTTATTTTCCATAATAAACTCTTAAAGACATCAGATCTAAAATGAAAAGGTGGCATACTTTGAACAACTCCAATACAGGAAGCTGGACTTCAAGCGTGGAGTTAAGAGTGGCACTCAATTGCTGGGAGTCGAAAGCATTATTCACATCTTCATCGCAGATATCATACATACTCAAAACCCTGATAAAAACCGAACAATGGAATCTAATTTCAATAATGAAAAAAAATATATAGAAACAAATAATACAAGTAAGGCATAACAAAGCTATGCATTTAGCCTATCAAGGTTAAGACAAATGAATTCTGCTAAAAGGTTGTGCAGGAGCATGATCTACAAAAAAAAAAACCAGATCAAAGCTTCCATCACGGAGCAATTCAGCTGAGCCCACTCCAAGAAGATGTGTTTTCATAGCCCATTAAGGGTTTCCGTGTAACTACCTGAAAATGAAAAGTATTTTAAAAAAAAATTATTTCTGTTTGAACTAGAGCGCTTTGATGTTGTAAGGGGGGGGAGAGAGAGCCGGCCTATGAATGGGTTTAATTGGCGATTTGATTAGAGGAATTAAGGGCTTGATTGGGGTGATATTAATGAGCTAATTTATTAAATGGGGAAGGGTGAGGGGGCCGGCCAAAGAGGGGAGAGATAGGAAGTCTAAGTTCAATGTATGTGGACCCATGTCTTTAATTATTGATTGGAAATCAGATTAAAAAATCTGATTTCAGATTTTATTCAAAGGAAAGAAATTTCCTAAACTAATTCATTAAGAAAGTATTTAAATTCAAATAATGATTTGAATTTAATTAGGAAACTTTCCTAATCAATAAGAAATTATTTTAAGAAAGTGATTAAGAGGAGTTTGAAATTTGAAATTTAAAATTCATGGGATTTTGGAGCGATGGCCGAATTCACTTTCCTCATTGGGATTTACTAATTAGGATGGAGACTTAATGTCCAATCCAAATCAAATTAATTTTAAATTTCATTTTAGAAACTTTCCTAAAATAGGATTCTATTTTAGGAAAGGTTTCAAATTTCAAATTTGAATTAATTGATTTAAAATTAAATGACTTTCCCAAAGAAGCTAAGCAAGAAAGGAAATTATTCAAGTGGAGATTGGAGAATTGGAGGCAAGGGAGGGGGATGGCAACCGGCGACTTGGCTAGAGGTGGTGGAGATAGGCCAGCGGTTAGGTGGACTTTGAGGGGCTGATTTGGAGATGTGGTGGTATGTTGAGGTTGGTGGGTGCGGGAGGATTAGGTGGCCACCGGTAAGGAAATTGGTGACTCCTTAGGGTTTAGGGTTTAGGGTTGAGGTGGAAAGAGGGGAGGAGGAGAAAAGGATTTGGGGAAAGAAAGATACAACCATGAGCCCGGACACATCCTGCAGCTGACGGGTAATACGTTGGTGACTCCTGCGGCTGGAGGAAACTCCACTTCCCTCCCATAGAATCTCACCTCAAGTTCTCTCCAAAGAACACAAGTGCAACAAAATTTCTTTTCTTCATAATTTATCATTACATTACACAAGCAAGGGCCTCTATATATAGGCCTAAGAAACTAAAACAAAACACATATGCCCCTAGGGCTTACATAGGACGACCCTCTTAAGTAAGGATAAAAAGGAAAAATTCATAATAAAAAATAAAAATTACAAATAACAAATTAAGATAAGGTGGAATGATCTCGGCTGTCGATCGTCATCTCCTCCTTTGAAAATCTTCATGATCGGATGCCCGCATCAATTTGTGAGCGTTGTGGCCCTAGTTTTAAGAGCATAGCGGCGCTAGGTTTGAGAACTATGGCATTTGAGTCTCTGTTCTACAGTAATTTTGAATTGGACATGCAGCGTAGCCACACTAGGCCACTGTCAATATTTTTATATATTTTTATTATAAATATCCCTGCCATCCCTTTCGCTCCCTCCATTGAGTGTTGCTTAGCCGGGAAGAAACCAAAGGAGCATGAGAGAGAAGGAACTTCAGGAGATTTTTGCCAATTGTTTCTTTTATGAAAATTGTTCTACTCATTGTAAATAACTATTTTCTTACTTATGTTTTTGATGATTTTGATTTCTACGGATTTATCTCTCCTAAATCTGACAAAAATGCATTATATCATGATTTCATAAGCTTTCACCATATAACTTTTAATATGTTATAGATTTGATCATTCTAAACAATATAATATGATTTTATTGCACTTTCACTGGTTAATTATGAGTATAGGAATTTCTTATTAAAATGACTAGAGAAAAAGGCACTCATGAAATGGGTTGAAAAGTGTTGTACTGTGATTTGACATGCTAAGACGACAAGGTAATATATATTGAAATGATTGAGTTATGTAAAAATGTAGTATTGCTACTAGTCTAAATCTGATATGATGTACTAATTGATATCATATATATGATAGGATAAGCTTATGTGATATCCTCAAGATCCACGTAATCCGCATATGGGAGTCAATGGATGGGAATCATAAAGAGCTGAAGATTGATTAAGAGTCATAAAGGGTCGGGACGATTGATTCATATGATTCAAGGGGAGTTATATGGAATACACTGATTGGGAGTCATAAGGGGGGGCAATTGATTGGGATTTATAAGTGCAAGAGCAAGATAAAATACCCAAAATGTTCAAAATAAACATAAGCATAAACTTCCTCTAAACGTTAACTTATTTTCAGTAAATTATATTTTTAATTTCGAACATTTTGACATATAAAAATATATTTAAAATATCAACATAACTGTATATATATGTATAGCTATTTAATTAATAGTTGTTTACAGTAATTAAAAACTAAGTAATAATTAATTTACAGTTAGTTCATTTCTTCATATTACTATTCATATGTTACAAAAACTAAGTATTTTTATATATTTTTATTAAAAATTTCTCTGCCATCCCACTTAATGCAACGGTTTGATTGGGATCATGCAGCTAGGAGAGAGTAAGGGTTGTTAGTGGAGCCTTAGTGGAAGATTAGTAATAGTATTATATTAAGTTATCTTAAGCACTAAAGCTACAGCATTTCTCTTCGTTCCTTTTCCCCTCCCATCCATGACATTCACAGGCATTTGAAGCAATTGACTGCTGCCGAGTGGAATTTAAGATCCAAAAGGCGGGAGGGCAATTTAGCTCTGAGGCTGCAGCATTTCCTTTTAAGTTCTAAGCTTAGGTAAGGAAAAGTTAATTGTTGAATTCAGGTATATGGCATAGATAAGAGCTGCTGAAATGATTTTGTGAATGCTGAATGATGAATTTTTGGATTCAGGGATATGAAACAAATCAGAATATTTGTAGGGTTACTAAAATTTGATAAAAATTGTTGTAGAAGGCTTGAAACTAGGTAAGGGTGTTGTAGTGTTTTGCTTGAATTCTGATGTGACTAATTGTTGAATTCAGGAGAGAAATTTTGGTTTAATGAGGAAAAGTTTAGTAAATGCAGTGTACAAGAGAAAAAGAAAGTAGGATTTAGGAGAATCAAATCCTAGTAATGTGAGATGCACAAACTATTGCATAGGAAATAGTAAACATTTCATATACTGTAACTTCATATTTGATACCATAATAGCGTTAAATTCATATTTCATCATTTATAAATTTATTTAATCATTAAGTAGTGATTATAATAGCACATGTTATGATTGTTAAACATGAATGGTATTGGAAAGGTGAACTAAGCCATATATGGATGATAGGCCCGCACAAGTAAAGGCGAAAAACCTGACAAGATAAGTCTATACTTGATATTCCAAAAGTTGAAAATTCGGACCCAACCTTAAATGAGCGAGTAGCTTCAAATCTAAAAGTTGGAAATGCAAACCCAACCTTGAATTAGAAAGATGTAAGAGTGCAAAAGCTTATAATCACCATATGACTGCATAAAAGTGTTGAACAGCACATAGAGCAGAAATTGATGTTATACATATCTTATGTCTAGCATGGAAATGTAAAAGTGTTTGCAAATGATTGCCAACATGTTTATTATTATTTCTTATACATTGCTTGTATATTTTATTGAGCTTTAACTCATTAGCAATGGTTGTATTACAAGAAACGACAAAGGAGCTAGTGAGTTAGTAGACAGGACATTTGACTGTCATTTTTTGTACATACGTTTTGGGTGTACGTATAGGTCCAAGTGGAAGTTGTACAAAAACTTCTGGATATTTAAATGAATTTTAAAAAGTTTAATAAAGCTATGTATTTTATTTGAGATGTTTTATGTATGCTTCAAGTTTTGAAGTATAAAATTTAATATGTTATGATAGTCTGAATAGACTACTATTTACTCACCCGATTATGATAGAAACAGTTCAAAATGGGTGTTAGTAAGGAGGTCTGTTTAAATTCTCCTTCTATGTTACACTCCATGTTGATTGTAAAGTGAGTCAAAACGGCGTGTAACAAAAGATACCCTCTTCTGAATACCTGAATATTATTACTGATATTGAAATTGTTTATTGTTACTGATATTGTACAGATATAAATGTTACAGACACTGATCACTGTTATTGTGCCTAACACTGAGCATATTGATACTGATATTGTTATAGATATTATAACTGACTCTGTGACTAATGATGTAATGGTCTAAGATATCATGTGTTATAAACTGAGTAATTAATATTGATATCCGATATAGATATTGATGCATAGATTTTTTTATATAATTTACAGCATATTGTTTCACTTGTTATTTCATTGATTTAAGTTGTAAAATTTTAGTTATTTACTAAGCTTTCATGCTCATTATGTAGCTTTACATGATTTCAGGTAAATGTAAGGAGCCTGCAGATTTAAGCTTAGCTGTAATGATGATTTAATTTTCTTTTGGTTCTTCTAGTTTATGTATATTCTTTTTTAGCCTATGAAGGTTATTGTATATATTATTTTGGACTCTATCAACATAACGTAAATATTGACTACTACTATGGTAAATTTGAATTATATTTTCTGTTGTTAGTTGGTTTTGTTTAATACAATTAATCAACTATGGATGTCAAAATGATATGGATGTTTATCAATCTGAATATTAAATGAAAGATAAAAGAAATATAATGAATTAAACAAATACTAAAGAAGAAAAGAAAAGAAATTTCTTCCACTTTAGATCACTGGGATTGACATTCAGCCACTAGCATTTTGGTAGGTAACAGCTGAAATTTTCATCGCATGCAACCAAAACAAGCACCTGTACAATATCAAGCAGACCAAATTTACAGAGAATTTGCATGCATAAGCGAAACTCTATTATTAGGGGCAAACAAGCAGGACTTAAATATTAAATTAACATCCAGGCTACACAGTATTTGCGTGTGCGGATGCTCCCAGAGGTAGAGAAATGGACAATAAGTCTCAAGCATCCAATGGAATTTGATCCGGATTATGCTGATATGAAATTTCATTACCAATTAGCAAGCAGCTTCTTTTCCTAGACATTGAACTATAACGTATTAAAGTGGCAACATAAACCAAGACCTGAACTTGAGAACAACATTTATAGGTTCATTACAAACATAATATTATGAAATGCGAGACATCTATTGGAGCAAGTGAAGAGTTATCAAATTGAAAAAGATGCTAGGATTAGAAGAACAAAGGTTGAACCATGATATGCAATCGCAGATCAATTATATAAACAATATACATATATATTAATAAAAACAAATTTAGAGCTAAAGTTTGGTTATTAAATGGTAGAAGAGGCCCAAAAGTATAATGCAACAGAATTAACAAAACCATAATTAGACCAAGTATGATATCAGAATTTAAGTGTAGGATAACAAAGAAGTTCCTAATGGTCAGGGGAATGTGGTGAAAATATGAATGTCAAAAAGAATAACTACTGAAATAAGGAGACAATAAGATATGACAAAAAAAATAAAAAATAAAGAAATAAAAAAATAAAAAAATAAAAAATATGATAAAAGAGTTGTTAGGAATAACACTTACTAAAAAAAAGAAGAGAGAAAAAAGCTTATATGGTTTAAACCTTTATAAGAAGAAGCGGGGAAAATAATACTATGAAGGAATAAGATGAAATCAGGAAAGAGCAAAGCTAGAATCAGAAAAGTTTGAAAAAAGAAAAAAAAAATGGAGAAATTAAACTGCACATTGATATAGCATTCAATGGAAATCGATGAAAGAGTAATCATAAAGTCGATCTACACAGCTAGGATGACGATTAAAACATATGGATAACCTTTCTTGCACTTCTATAATTTATGGGACTTAAACTAATATTACAATTTATTTCATATCATTTAAAGTCTTATTAAATTAATCCTTACACTCAATTTAACATCTTTTCATAAATCAATGTAAGAGATGAGCAAAAGAAATTCAATGGGTACAAGAGGCAAATCTATATTAACGCTGCACATTATTTACAATCCATGCTACAATAAGATTTTATAATGAACTTTGCATCATTCATTAACAATAGTTATACATTCGAAACAGAATATAAATTTTAAATATAAGAAAATATATAAATTTTTTGGCAATACCATTAGGAAAAATGAACTCTGAAACCAAAAATATGATAATTTCGAAACCAAAAACAATAGGAGGTTTAAAATTTTTAAAAGAGAATAGAAATCTGAAATAATCCTGAAAACTGGAGACGAATTCATTATTCATCAACAAACATTTGTCAGTTCACTATAAAAGTAAATCAAATTGCTAGTCAGATAATTATACTCACATGTGGAAGTGTTGCAAGCAAGAAATAACCAGTTGCCATTTTTCTTTAGGATCAGCATAGGCCCTCTGGGGAAAAGGCCTGAAGACATGATCATAGACAAATCTAAAGATGCCAACAAACCTGGTGAAGATTTAAATAAAGAAACATAAAACATTGAGTTCAACATTACCCAATTAAATAACTGAAAAGTCTTAAGATAAAAATAAAAAACACAACTCAATCGTCATACCTTCGGCCTCGGTCACTTACATCTCTTTCTTGTGAAATTAATGCATTTAACAAATTGACGAAAGAAATTGTTGATGGATACCTTTCCCTTCTTGCTTCAACTTCATTCAGCTCAAATTGCATGTCATAAACCTTTAAAATATGTAGAAGTCCACAGTCAACATAATTCACAACAAAATAACATGTCACGATGAAATAAGTGTGAAGATAAATTTATAAATAAAACATATCATGAGCCACCATTAACTCAAATTAACGCAGTACACGTCAACTATTTTAGCCATGAAAAAGATTAAATTTTCATAGGGCAATCAAACGGAGTTGAATCAGACTACAACGCACTGAACCAAACGAGTTTGCAAGCTTGTTTATTCTCATTTCTATTTTGGGCCTGATTTATATATATAATTTTATTTTTTAAGTATAATAAATATAAGAATGATCACACTTTTTGTGATATGGATAAGTGCTCTCACATCCTATCCTCCAATTTCTTTCCTTATAAAAAGGGCTGATTGAATGGCATTTTTTAATGTTGAAAGAATAAAAGAATTTTTGTGAGGCAAATAAAGTTTTCTCTCCTTCAATACAAGTTGTGCGTGCGGATCCTCCAAATTGAGTACATCAATTTTATGATTGCAAGTGAACCAATGCACTAGATGATTAACCCAACTCAACTCGAGCAATACTGGTGCAATCTAAAAATAACTAAGATTGCAAACAAAAGACTTCCTCTCCATAAAACATAAAGAAACACAAATGAAACAAACAATATTATTATATCTCACATTAGATTAAACAAGCACAACAAGAAATACAACACAACATCACATCACTTACATCTTATAATAGAACAAGACACGACACAACTTAAAAACTTAAAATAGTTTTAGAGAAGAATGATACTGGTAGAATGGGAACCTTAGAGAGAAGAAGTATATAGAAGTCCGAGACTAAGTTTTAGAAGACAGGGAGGTAGAAGAAAATATCTAGCAAGTTATTTAAACCCGCAGGTCTCTCTCTCTCTCTCTCTCTCTCTCTCTCTCTCTCTCTCTCTCTCTCAAACAAAACTAAACTATTGTATCTGACAATAGCTTAAACAAACACAACCACACCTTACAACTTCAAATAAAAGGGCACAGCAACACATACGACTAATCAAAGCTTCGAGAAGAAAGATATATGTGGAATGGGAACCGTGGAGAGAAGAATAAGATAGAAGTCAGAGACAAAAAATAAGAAGGTAGAAGAGGATAGTTCGCAATCTAAATAAAATAACCCACGGGTTTTAGTGTGATTACACATGCAACAATAACAACCACCTCTTCCAACAGCAAATAGCCCATATATATAGGAGAAGGGGGGAATGGTCATAAATTGCTCACTTAATTATGCCACCCAAACAGTCAATAGAAGCCTCTCAAGTTAACCATTTAATGAGGAGTTAATGCACTTAGTATAGGAAAACAACAAGGTGAAATCGAATAGGCGACAGCATTGGGAAAAACAACCAACATAGGGAAAGCTAGCAGCAGGGGGACAACAAATGGGGAAAAATGGCCAGCAATAGGGAAAGCGGGACAACAGCATGGGGAAAAATAGCCAGCGTAGAGAAAGCCAGCAGCAGGGAAAATGGGAAAACATGGGGAACACCAAGCAGCCAGCCAACAGGGGAAGAATTGGGCCAAGCCCAATAAGGAAAAACAGTTCAAAAATTAAATTCTCATTTAGCTACCAAGGAACAAAGAAGCAAATTCAACATAAGTGGAAAACCAATGGAGAGAAATTACCTAAGAGCACCAAACTCAAACATGATACCTAAGAGCACCAAACTCAAACATGATCATGGGTTGTTTTCCATCATAGGGTAATACAAATAAAAAGAAACATAGAGTCCAAAACATAGAAAAAATAAAAAACATAGAAAAATAGAAACATAGAAAGAAAACATGATTGCACCAACTACTCAATTAAGAGGCAACTACTCAATTAAGAGGGAGTTATAAAGTCTCTTAATTAAGAGGGAGTTGTTTAGGAGGGTTCTTAATCGAAGGGGAATTATTTATGAATGTTTAAATTATAATTGGGAGAAAATTATTTAGAGCAAGAGATATAATTTGAATTCAAAAATCTAAGAAGTAATTATTTCAGGAAAATGAGGAATTAAGGGAAGATTGCCTAGGAAAGTTTTAATTACAATTACGAGGGAATTAATTAGGGAAATAAATGTAATTTGAATTCAAATTTGAGAGGAGGGAATTATTTAAGGAAAGGTGGCGGATTTGGGAGGGAATTATGAGAGCTTATTTAAGGTTAACAATAGAGTAATTTTTGGAGAATGTTTTGGAGTTTGCAGAATTTAGTTTATTCTTAGATTATTTGGGCTCTAGCCGGCGGCTAGGGACTTCGGAGAGCGTGATCTTCCTCTTCAATTGAACATTCAATTGTATCTTACACTTCTCATTATGATTTTTTTTCAATAAAATTTATTTTGAGGCATTCTTCTTCCTAATTTTTTGTGTTTCATCAACTGATTTTTGCGTAAAGGGCATCCACTTCCTATCACAATATCAAACAAATTCACAAGGAAAAGAATATGAATAACCACAACCAAACTTACTTGTGATGGGAACTGAAACCCACTACTCCCAGGAGGTGGGCCTACAACAACAGGAAGATCATATTTTTCAAGATAGCTCCAAATAGTGTCTTTCAAAACTGGAGAAATTCCAATGAAAGACGAAATAGCATCACGGAGTGCTCCCTGTTCCAAGTTGCAGCATATGTTGGTACGAGACCCACAAAAGCAGACATTAATATTTTCCACACTTTTGACTACTAACCTTCAAATATGGAGGTACATTTTCATAACTAAGAAGCTTAAATAAGGGTTCAATATCTGGAAACCACTTCTTCCTTTCATTGGGATCTCCATTTTCTACTACCTGCATATAATATCACATCTGCATTGTCATTGATGATCAATAAATCATATTGTGTGCAAAAAATAAATAAAATAATTTAACTGTTTAAAGCATATTTTAGAAGCACAAAAAGAGAAAAAGAGAAATAAAAACCATATCATTCCATAAAAATAAAAGATGAAGAAGTATAAAATAAATAGCTGTTAAACACGCGACAAGAAAATCACATATCTTAGTAAGTACTTCCCAATAGGATAAGACAATGCATCACTAGATTAGAATCCCCATCTAGTATTTTGGTTATTTCTGTCATTTTACAAAGATCGGGACCGCAGCCATTCAGAATAGCTAAAGCTCCACTCAAAATTGGAGAATAAACTTCTCAGATCTTGAACTTGGACTGCAGGCGTTAAAATCAATTGTGGCGGTTCTCCTAACCGCACTTTAATCAGTTAATCTAAAGAGAAGCAGCGATGAATATGAAACAGAGGTGATTACGAAACAGAAACAATAAGGAAATGATAAAAAGAAAAGTGCACTCATATGCAAAGTAATCATTTGCATTATTACGTTATTATATTTTCCACAAAAGTCATCTACCATACTAGTCAAGCCAATGCTGAATGGAAATTAAGTGAATTAAAGAAAAATATTTAAATTTCAGCACATCATGCAGTTTCATGCTGAGGCCCAGTTCCAAAAAACAAATAAGTAATAAAAAACAACAAGAAATCAGCATTAAAAACAAAAGCCCACACTATTCTATGCATTATAGCTATTTGGATTATTTCATTTTAAAGATAAGTTGAGGTTACAAGCCAATAAAATTTTACCCTTTCTCCGGAAGATAGGCCAAACCACAGACAAATTCTAGATAATCACTATCCAAACAGAATATCAGTAGATAAGAGAAGATAAATAAGATCAAGATATGGTTGTTTGAGACAAATGTGAAGTAAAACTACTAGGAGTTACGTTCAAAATTAAAAAGAGAATTGTTAAAGTTTGCTTTTATAATTTTATGGGATCATGCAAGATTGAGTTAAGATGTCGAAACGTTAACTTTGCTTAGGCGAAAGAGTTGCAAACAAGATTAACCAAAACGATTCTTTCAAAGTTCTAGGCGAATTTAATATGCAAAGTACAACAACAAAACCCAACGTTTAGCAATGAGAAGTTCACCTTGGGGCCGTATCACTCAAGAGGTAGTGGACTTTTGGCGGAGATAGAAGATCCAAGAGATGAAAGAAGTTACCACTAGGGAGAGGGCGCCAAAGAACTTCGTCGAAGGAAAAGTTGCCGGTTGGGATGGAAGTCGTAGACGACCGTTGAGGCTCCAAGTAGCAGTTTAAATCCTACAACACCAAAAGTTTTTATAATATAAAGAAATTGTAGACATACTAGATATTAAAGCTAGCCATTTGCATGAACTTTATTCCAAAAATCAACATGGGCAGTTTCGACGCCAGATGAAACATTATTTTCATGCTTCGCTAGCAGACAGTCATAACAATTCATGGAATTTGAAATTTCAAGATAATTTTATGTAGGAAAAAATCATATATGAAGAATAGTAACAACAACAAAATAAATCTATTTAATGAGTTTCCCGCAAGTAAATAATCTCCTGGAATAAGTTGGGCTTCACCGTGCATCAAGAAAGTAAGATGTTTGCCAAACATTAAAATAGAATATGACTTGGGACCTTTTGCAGAACGTTCAAATAAGCAACAAGTGCCTGTGCATCACCCTCCTGAATATCAGGTAAAGGAGCTCCGGAAGATTGGAGAGATTGCCTAAATCTCTCATCATAAATAGACAAGCAATCAAACAAGGTACCCCAACCAACTCTCCGGAACATTTTACCCTGGAGCAACTCGAAAACCTTTGAAGCACCCTCCTGGGTAGAAGCCTACAAATACCAAAAAATATCAAGTAAATAAGACATTGAGAAAAGACAAAAAAAATCAGGGGGGTTTATATACATAACACTTTATTCATTCATATGTAAATATTTAACACCTAAAAATTTATATTTATTCACATAACACCCATATTTCTAAATAAACTCAAAAATACCACTCTCTTCCCTTTGCCATTCCCGTCATAAATATTGTTGGAGCAGGGAAACTCACAACAACAAAGAAGAATATAAAGAAGCATGCACAAGCGAAGTGTCATGCATCCTGTGCACGCAACAGCCAATAGCAAGTATTCGAAACTCGAAAGGATAGCAGGCAAGGGTGGGACCACAAGCAGGAAAAGGGACAGTATCATGCTCCAACATTTTGGATGAAAAGTTAACGGAGTGTAATGGTTGAGTAAATAGGAACTTTTACTAGTTAAATATGTAAATATAATTGAAGTGTTATGTATGTAAATCCACACAAACTTTAATTTGCATACCTAATTTAAACTAAAATGAACTAAGTTGGGATGAATCGTTACTTTTGAAATTCCTAAAACTCAAGTTATGCAATGTATAACATATGACGAATGCCAACACATTCGACACAGTTGAAAAGGCACTGTTACTTGCCAAAAAAGGCGAAGGCCCGTCTAAAAACATAATATTTAAAACTTTTATTCACTTGTCAGGCAGGGCAAACACATGAGGGATAACTTATAATTTTGTCCTTCATTTTGCGATTTTTTGAAAAAATTTAATATGTATCTTTTCACTTTTTGAGGCAAAGGGGCATCCCCACCTATACATAATCAAGACTGATATGTTAAAAATTTTAATAATTGTCATGGATTTATTATTTATGTTTCAAGTATTATTACACTAGAATCGTAATTTTATTTCGATTATTTAGTATAACTAATAATCATCCAGGTCTGTGGCCCACATATTTTAAGATTTGTCATATTTGGCTCGTGATCGTGTTAATGCATCAAAACTGGTATTAAAGGGTATGCCATACCAAAGTTTTCAGCATTCCAAGAAAAGCCACAAGCGTTGGTATGTTAGTATGATCCTCTCCAGCAAAATTAACAAATGTCCATAAATCATCATTTCCAAGTAACAGCTCTGGTTGCCTCTGATATAGGTAACATATTCAACAAGATACAATTAGTAAGTAGATAAGTACAGCTTACCCAAAAAAAGGTCACACTAGTTTAGCGCGCAAATTAAGCAATAAGCTACAATATTATAAAAACAAGTAGAACATAATGATCTAATCAATTACGTGACACAGAAAGTCCAGATAAAAAATTTACACATCACATAAACTTCAAGGGGAGTCCTGTATTGAAAAACAGTCAAGTTAGAGCTCAAAAAATAAAAAATTCCAAGCAAGTATCAAGATCTGCTCAAGGTTTCACCAGAGCATATCGTTCAATATCTAAAAAAAATGCATCAGAAAACTATAATTTGATTTATTATTTGAAGCACAAAAATAATAGAAAACATCTGCACGATCTTCAAAGTAGATAATGAAATCATTATATTAAAACCAAGAAAACCAAATATGAGGCATATCCCTAAACCAAGCATATCCCACAAACCAAATGGCCATTACAATATAGCTAGCGTCAATTAAATAATACCCCACCAAAGTGAAAGAGAAACCATAGAAGTGAATATTTCAGCTCATATCCCAAAGTCCTGTTAGCAAGCTACATCAGCCATACAAAGCCACATAATAAAAAAGGCTAGTTTTCACGAGTGCAGCCTATATATCCGCAGCTTTGCCTTCTCATAATCTATAACATGCTTTTTAAATCCATTCTGACCACACATATGAATGAGATACAAAACTTTAACTAACATAGCTGCAAAATATAATCAAACATTCCGGAGTGCAGCCTCTTTCACAAGAGCAGCTTATATATCCTTAGTTCGGTAATCTCATTATCCATAACATGCTTTTTTAAATCCAACATGACCATCAATATGAATGAGATTCAATACATTAACTTATATATATATATATAGATGTATATATATCACGAACAAATTTAGCATAAGAATTAACAAACCAGAACAAATGGGAGATGCTTACTCTGTAAATTTCACTGACCAATTCCAAAATTGAAGCAAATGGCTTACAAATCACAGGAGCATGAAGCAGGTTAGCACCATCCAGAGGTTCATCTGATCTTGGCTGAATATAAGGATCAAGAGCGCTCATAGCTTTCTCTTTCATTTCTTTCACCTAATAAATAACGTTTTAGATAGCATCAGAAGTTAGTCAACCAATAAAAATTAGAAAAAAGATGGGAGCCAAAAGTTTGGTTTTTAAATAAATCAGGCCAAATCACCATAAAATCCATAATATCATGGCATACAAATCCTGAAAAGCTAATATACATATCAAGTGTGAACCCAATTATAGGTAGCATGCAGACACCAACTTCAGCCAACAACTTAGAGTTAACAGCTTTTAGAATAAATAGTAATGAATAAGAGGATGTGAAATGATTAGAGAATATGTGTGTTTCTCTAAACAAAAAAACAACAATAAAAACGAGTTAGCCAAATCGAAGATTATCAATGGAAATTGAAGATTCAAATAGGTGCTCTATTAAAAGAGATTAACTACGGAAGTGATGCATGCAAAGGGGGGGTCAAAACAAGACGAGAATTTGTTTTGACCCTTGGACTTCTGGTGTTCTCGGATGAGCTTTGGTTAATTGGTAACGAGCTCAAAATGTTGGAATTTTAATTAGTTCTAGCTCATAAATGTTTGAGCTAAAGTTTAGCTAAATGATTGGGGGATTTATTGCACTTCCTAGCTCATTAATTTCGAGCTCTTGGTTAGCTCATAGTGAGCTGAAGTTTAGCTCATTTATGTAAGTTTCGTGGAAGCTCATTATGGTGGATTTTGGCCTTTTGGTTCCCGTGGATGGCGGCTGGTTTTCCCGTGCTTGGCCCTTTGGTTCCCGTGGATGGCTGCTGGGTGTGCCTTGCCCCTTTGGTTTCTGCGGCTGCCTGCTTAGTTCTGTGAATTTCCTGCTTGGTTCTACCGCTGGCTGCTTGGTTCTGCCGTTGGCTGCTCGGTTCCGTGGCTTTTTTGCTTGGTTCCCGTGGGCTTTCTTCTCTGTTTTGCTGTGCCGTTTGGGGACTGAGGTTATGTGGCTGTTGGCCTTCCATTTCCCTAAATCTAATAGGTTTATTTACTGCTGTTTGGTGGCTGTTTGGGGGGGGGGGGAGAATTCCACGGGATTTTTCATGTTTTCTGTGCAGTTTTCCTGCAGCTGTTTGCAGTCTTTTGGCCTTCTATATTCCTTGAATTTAATGGGTTTAATGGGAGATATTTGGGCTGTTTGGCTTCCCTTTTTGTACCTATATATAGGAGATGTTTTGAAACTTTAAAAAAAGTTATGATGATATTTTTGGAGCAAAAAATCTGTGAGGTTTTTCTTCTTTCTTCGGAATAGCTTGTGAGCTATGTCCTTCACCTCTTCTTATTCTCCTCTAGGATAACTTGTGAGTTATTCATGTTTCGTCTCGGCTCCTAATCTCCTTCTTCTATCCGCAAGTCCGACGTCATTTGTATCCTTCTTCTTAATCTAAAAAAGCAATTTTAGGAAAGTCGTAGTGTCTTTATTTTGTCGTTTGTAACTGTCTAAGTTTGTAAGTCTTTATATATATTAAAGTGAAGTTGTTTTTTTTTTTTTTTTTTTTTTTTTCGTATTTCAATTCATTATCCAATCACACAATTTTTTTTTTTATCTATTTTGTGCTCTTTTGTGTATCTTCTAAGTTATAAGAATAATCTTCTTTTTGTAATCAAAAATTTGGGAAGGCCCAAATTTTTTATTGCATCAATTAAATTGATGCAAGCAAAAATTTGGGAGAGGGCCCCAAATTTTTGCTAACAAAAGAGACTCTTCCTAGATAATATAAGATTACACTAAAACTAGACAAATTAGACAATTTATGACAAAAACAAACTTTAGTATTATAAGAGACGCTTATAGGACGCTTACAACTTTGACTTACAAACAACACTAGAACATAAAAATACACCTAAAGTTGCTTTCTTGGATTGAGAAGAAAGATACAAGTGGGGTGGATTCTTGCGGGTAGAAGAAGAGATAAGAAGCCGAAAAGAAATGGAGACAAGCTCGCAAGCTTTCTCAAAGAAGAAAGAAAGGAGGGAAGTTGGACAAAGCTCGCAAGCTTTTCCAAACAACAAACCTGCAAGTTTTTTTCTATTCCAAAAATCACATTCTAACATTCTACCTTTTTAAAACAGCCACAAACTCGCTATATATAGGCACAAAAGGGGAGCCAAACAACCATCTAAAACTTCATTTAAAACTAATTAACTAAGGGGAAGAGGAAGGCCAAAAGACACTACTAACAGCCCCCAAAAACTGCACATAAATCAGCAAAACAACACCTAAATCTGCATAGGAAACAGGGCAAAACAGCTGCAGGAAAATTGCACAGAAAACAGGGAGGCAGCCATCGAAATCCCCTCCCAGCAGCTCATGGGAAACCAGCCAGCACAGGAAACAAAGGGGCAAAGCTCGAAAAACCAGCCAGCACAGGAAACAAAGGGGCAAAGCACGGGAAACTAGCCAGGGGCAACGGGAACAAAAAAAGCCAAGAGTAAACCGAAGAGACAAAGGGAGGAGAAGGGGCAAAGTCCACTCCAAAATGAATCCAAGACATAATAGCATACCTTTTTGAATTAATGAGCTAGGAAGTGCAATAAATCCCCCAATCATTGAGCTAAACTTCAGCTCAACATTTATGAGCTAACACCAAGTAGAATTCATCATTTTTTAAGCACAACACCAAGAATCCAAGGCTCACCCGAGAGCAACCACCATACCAAAACAAAAATCAGCAAGCAGCCCAAGGACAAAACCAAGAGGTAGCAGTAGCCCAAAGCTTGCCTACATCAAGAAGTGAGTTTTGTGATATGTTAATTCAGGAAAAAAAATTCATCAAAAATATCTCTATATGATTTGTATTTGACTATGAGAAGGGCAATCATTGGCAACTGTTAAATTCAGAGAATTTAAGAGGAAATAAGCTTAATTTTATTATACAAAACTATTCATATTTATATATCTATACAAGATATCTTAATAAATAAACAAATAGCTACATAATCATGCATAATTGTCATAATATAATCCTTCCTACATCAGCCACCCAAATACAAAAGGAGATCGGCATGAACCAGGTGCGTCTCCCACAGATTCTTATATTTTCTGTGGGATCAAGGGCCAAGGGACGATTGAGATTTAGAAACATGATCCAGGTGAGCCTCCCACGAATTCCCATAGGAGTTGTGGGATCAAGGGCCACGAGACGGCTGAGATTTAACACTCCCCCTCAAACTGAGAATACATATCAGTCATTCCCAGCTTGGTAATTAGTCTCCAATATGTAGAGTTATCGAGTCCCTTGATAAGAATGTATGCAGCATCGGTTTCAACCTTTTCTTGCACCCCGTGCACCTTTGTTTCACTTTCAATAAACTCCCACTGCTCTTTCTTTAAGAGCAGTGCCTCTACATCACCATCATACAAAATTTTATGTATTCTTGTACTTTGATCAAAAGAATCAACAATACCATCATAAAACCTCTGATTATCTGGCCACCAAATTTTTATCTTTGAACCAACAATTGTGTTACCCAAGCATTTCCTACACTTATGTGGTCCAAAAGCCTCTTGCACGCCCTTAGCACGCTTCCATCTTGATTTTGTTTTACCGATATCTTTAACATGGTTATTATCTTTAACCAAATCTTTCACTGTAGTCTTTTCGGAGGAGAGAATTTCCTTTAATTTCAATTCTTTGTCTTCAGCCTCAACATGCTTAACTCCTTTTTACTTAATGCTAACTATTTGCCTGTTTACCAAGAATCTCATTCTAACTTTTCTTTCATATCCATTTCTAACTCCAATACTTGGAGGCTTTTAGTCAGAATTACTCAGAGCTTTTTTCTTATTACCAACTCCATAATGATCATTGTTAATTGATGTTTACATAGTAGTGGCCCACACATGAATGAGGCTTTGCTCCCTCTTACAGCCTCTGCTCTCTTTCGACTTAAAGGAAGTATGCAGAGAATTCAATAGAATCCCCTCTCCCCACTCTCTCGACTTTCCTCTATACACCAAACGAAATTTCTGTTGCTCGATTCTTGCTAAAGCCGCCCATATCCGCTCCAAATCGAGGAGATCATGCACCTGGACATTAGGATAGCGGCACGGAGTTTCATTTTCAAGGAAATTGAAGTCTTTAGATGCATATTTTAATTTGGAAAGTCAAATTAAACTTGATTTGATCGATATGGATAATTGATTTGAAATTGAGTTCGAATCGAACTCAATTTGAATCAATTTGAGCTGATTTGTGTTTGAATTTGCTCAATTGAGTTAATTTGAGAAAATTAGACTCAAATCGATTGGGTTGACCGGGTCTAATCGGGCCTGATTGGGCCGATTCGACTCTATTTGAGTCAAAGTCTAACACCCAAAAAAAGTGTCAATAATAAATAGAAAGACAGAATAAAAAGTTAGATGAAGATAGTAAATTATTTATGAGAAAGATTTGACATGGGGCACTATTATAAAATCTAATGGGAATAATAAAAGATACTGATGTGAAACTACCAGAAGTTAGCGAGAAAATTAATAAGAAAGTTGTTAAAGTTTACCGTTATAAAACTATGCTTCAAGACAAAAGGAAGCTTTAAGGATTCGTAGTTTTCCACTTGCTTAAGCAAAGAAACACATGTAGGTTAACCAAGACACTCTTAGTCAAATACAAAGGCAATAGAAACAATAATAGCTTGTAACATAAATCCGAAATTTAATAATGAGATCTTCACCTTGAAGGTTCTCTCACTCTACGGTTCTAGGGCTTAGCGGATGAAGATCTTCCAAACTAGACTTGAAATCACCATTAGGAAGAAAGAACCGTGGAGCTATGTTGTTGGGAAGGTAGCCAACAGTGAAGGATTCAAGGATCTTCCGACAAGGAGCCAAGGTGTTCTGGGTCATTGAAGCTCGAACGTCTCGGCGAGGCAGTAAATGATGTGGTTGACGTAGCGTTCCACCAAGTCGTCATACTCCCAATCTGGTTCATAGAAAAGAGATTGGAAGATATCTATCTCTCCTTGGGCATTGTACACCAAGTTGTGGTCGATCTTAGGATCGGCCATACTGATGCGGCATCCAATCATGAAGATTTCTAAAGGAAGAGACGACGATCGGCGACCGAGATCATTCCACCTTATCTTAATTTGTTATTTATAATTTTTATTTTTATTATGAATTTTTCGTTTTTACCCTTACTTAAGAGGGTCGTCTTATTTAAATTCTAGGGGCATATATGCCTTGTTTTAGTTTCTTAGGCCTATATATAGAGGTCATTGCTTATGTAATGTAAGGATTGAATTATAATAAAAATTGTGTTTTGCACTTTTGTTCTTTGGGAAGAACGTTCGTGAAATCCCTATGGGAGGGAATCAGACTCTCCACCAGCCACAGGATGTGTCCGAGCTCGTGGCTTGAAGTCCCTTGGTGAAGGGCATCGTATCACCCGTCAGCCGCAGGATGTGTCCGGGCTCACGGTTCTATCCATTTGTTTCTTTGTTTTGTTTCTCCTTATTTTTCCTGACCGCCACCTCCCCCTTTCCCCCTCTCCAAGCCGTTGGTCACCTTGTGGCCACCCCTTTCACTAACGCACCCAACTTCAATTCTAACCGCCACCTTTCCGTTCCCTCTTCCCCTAGGCCGAGATCCACCATGGTTCAACCCACCCGCGACTACCTCCTTCCCTAGCCCCACTTCCCTCCAAAAATCCCTCTTTCCTTATTTAGGTTGCCATTAATTTGAAAAGATTTTAAATTCAAATTAATCTATTTTGAATTTCAAATCCATCTAAACTACCTCTTGATTACCTTCCTAAATTAGATTTTGTTAATTTGGAAAATCATTCAATTTTGAATTCAAATAAATTTAAATTTCAAAACATTTCCAATTTAATAAATTCTACATTAGGGAGCCTCCTCCAATTACTCCTAATCTGAAATTAATTTCATATTTAATTCCTCCAATCCCATTAAATGCTTGATCCAGATACATCGAATGCGGACATTATCTTTCCCTCCACCCATGGTTGTCCCCTCCCCTTTTCATACTCTCCTCAATTAATTCCTCTTCCCACCAATTAAGGCCATTAACCCCTCTTTCTCTTGATTGGAGCCAATCTCGCTTTGATAGCCTACTTTCCTAAAATATTCTAGATAATTTTGGAAAGAGAATCAATCTGATTTGAATTCAAATTCAAATTTCAAATTCTTTCCTAAATATCTAGGGTTAAATTAGAAAACCCCTTAAATAAATCCCAATCAATTTCAAATTAAATTGGAGTAATTATCTCTCTTTTTAAAACTAAAATTCAATTCATGAGAGCATTAACTCCACCAATCCACTCCCCAAACTCATGCATGCTGACAGTTTTCCTTCCCCCTGGAATTCGAAATTCATATGACCCCCCCCCCCCCCCCTCCCCCCCCCCCTCGTTCTACATCATATACATACTTGCCTTGAGAGGGAGAGGGGGAGAGGATAATTGAGGTGGTAAGGAGAGAGGGAGGGATGGCGGTTTGGGGGAGAGAGGATCAGCTGTGGGTGAGAGGGGGAAGGTGGGCCGGTTTTAGGAGAGGGGTGAATTAGATAGGCCTAGGTCAAAATCTGAAATTAATTCTCAGATTTAGAGGGAGGGAAACATTAATTTGGGATTCAAATTAATTCAAAATGGGGGCTTGATTGGGGCGGCAGCAAAGTGAAGTTTAATGGGTATTTAATGAGGGTCTAGGTGGCGAATTGGAGAGAAAAAGGGGCTCGAGAAGGGGTCGGACATATAGGGGGGGATTTGAGGTGTTTATATTTAATATGTGGGCCCAAGAAAGATTTAATTGGGGATTGTCATTAAATCTGAAATTGATTTCAGATTTCAATGTGTTTAGGATGTTTCCTAATATAAGTTATTAATAGGGAAAGCTTTATAATTCAAATTTAAATTTGAATCTAAATGAGGCAACTTTCCAAACTAATAGGGATGTAATTTAGGAAAGAAACTAAGGATGATTTTGAATTTTGAAATTCAAAATTCCTAGGTAATGGAAGGAGGGCCGGCGGCTAGTGGAGCTTGGGGGGAAGTCGGCGGTGAGGGGTTTGTTGGGGGGGTCGGTGGTGGACGGGTGAGGGGAGGCCGGCGGCACAAGGGTGAGGCGGATTGGTGGTGGGGTTCGATTTTGGGAAGAGGGAAAGGGGATGGGGGTTTTGGGAGGCCGGCAGGTAGGTGGCTAGGAGAGGAGGTGGAAGGAGAGGAAAAAGAAAAAAAGAAAAGATTGGGGCCGCAAACATTGGAATCCTCCGAAGGTTGACGGGTATTGCTTTCACCCACCTAGAGTTTCTCCTCTCAAGAACTCACTTAGAGATCAAGTAAGAAATTTGAAATTTCATTCATAATTCATCATCCGATACAATAGAGGAGGCCACAATATATAGGCCTAAGAAAATAAAAATACAATGACTCAAATGCCCCTGGGGCTACAACTCAAGCAGACTCAAAAGAAATGGTACAACCGTAAATAGTAATTAATACATAAAACATCAAAATAAAGACTAAGCATCAAAATAAAAGTTGTGGATCGTAGCCATCGATCTGAGACTCCTGCACTGATATACTCGTCGAAAACGTCTGTCGATGTCCTCATCAGACACAATATAAATTAATGATCTAAACAAAAAATAAACAGTATTTTAAACAAAGTTTTAACTAGCATGATGTGAGGTACCATTGACAAGTATGTTTATATCATTTTTTCTCTTTTTTCTATCTTTATATGGTAAACACCTTGCTAAGTGTTTTTGCATTCATGCACCAAGTAAATAAATAAACAAATACATATTTAGTCAGGTTAGGATGTATTGCACTGTTTTTCCACTGAACTTACTTTGCATTTATTGGAATCGACCCAATCACCCAAATTGAATTGTACCGCCAAAATATAAGTAACTAAATCATGCAATTGCCACAATAAATGAAAAGAATGCAAACTCATATAAATATATCTGAGTAAACTCGTTCTGCCATAATTAATAGAGCTAGAAACTTTCTTGTTGAAACTGGAAAAGAATATTTTCTTATTTGATAGAAAGCAAACCCAAAAAAAAAAACAAGTCAAGATATCAAGCCAGAAATTCATATGTGCGGATATGCTGGACTCTAAAGCCTATAAGGCACCTACCGTTTGCAAGTTATCTACAACGTTCTGGCCCAAAATTGAAAGAAAGAAAAGGCAGTAACTATGAAACAGTTTGATATCATACTGCCAAACTAAACAATAACTGTTCTCAGTCAAGAAAACATACAAATTAACGGTATACTTGATTCTAAGAAAAATATAGTAGGCTTTGAGAGAATGATAAATTTTGAAGGAATAAATTTCAGCTTGATCAAGAACAAAAAATTGTGTAGATCAATCAAACAAACCTTGGCTCTGGTAAATGGGTGGGAAAGAAAGCACATCATCAGTTTGTGCATGTACCCATCATACACATAAACGATATCTTCATCTTCATTCTGTGCATAAATGAATTGATAAAAAGACTGCTATCACAATAGACACTAGGCAAAACAAGATTTAACAAACAGAAAGATGCAAAACAATTAAAACTTAAACTAAATACCAACTGCAAATGACCACTTATTTTTAAAGGTGTTATTTAGCGGTTGCCCTCATGGACATTGTAGATTTCAAATTGCTGATTCTAAATAACCACAAAAAACTGACACAACAAAATAGGATCAAAACAGCTACCATCATCCTTAAAAAATTGCTCAGTAAACAAAACAAACTAAATAATGAGTTAAATTATGACAAGAATTGGAGAAACTAATTTAGCAACGAAAATTAACTAAGATTGGACAGCCTATAAATAAATGAGAAGGCAAAAATGATCACATAGATCAAGGAGATGGCAATCAAAGGACATGACAGTTGGGAGGCAGACTGCAGGAAGCTGAAATTGGCAACAGCAACTGGCGTGGACCAACTAGGGGGCAGACTGCAGGCTAGCTTGATGTGCTGACGGCAAGGCATTATTTTAGGGTTGCAGGTTGTTGAATTCAACGAGAACCATATAGAGGGCCACTACTATGCAGCAAACATTTTATGTATTAAACAAGAAGCCAGGCTCAAAAAGAAGATAAATCTCTAAATTATTTTATCTAATGATTGTGGACTGGGTCGACAATGATACAACTGATGGTTATGTGTCAGTTGGGACATTGGTGTCGAAGGGGACACCAGGATAGCAATTGGGTAGATGGTTTTGGCAGTAACATAAGGACGTTGGCTAGCTCAACAGCATCACAAGTTGCTTCACAAACAATCGTGAGATATGAATGGAGGCAATTTAATCAACAACTACAAAAACTACAAGTTTCATTACGAAACCATTTGGTTTCTGCAAGCATTTAGAATATATGAGTACTTCAAATACAATAAGTGAATAAAAAGGATTTGAAATAATCAAGGTTGTTTTGGATTGTTGTAAAATAAATTCAAAAGATCATTTATTTAATTTGGTAGGAAGAAAATGAACAGTATTTGTCGTATTAATAACAAAACAAAAGCTACAAGTTTCATTGAGAAACATTTGGTTGCTGCAAGAATTTAGAATGTGTACTTCAAATACAATAAGTGAATAAAAAGGTTTTGAAATAATCAAGGTTGCTTTGGTTGGTGGAAAAATAAATTCAAAAGAACAATTTTTTTTTTAATTTAGTAGGAAGAAAATGAACATAATTTGTTGTATTAATATATTTTCTGAGCCAATATTTTTGTATTAATATATATTTTTGCATAAATATTTTTTTTTACCATGCATGGAGTAGTATCCACGAGGAGATCGACGGGGATGGCAATGATGGTTGGCAAGATCCACAACGATACAAAAGATGGTAAAAAGTCGGTTGGGTTAATGGTGTCGAAGGGGATACCAGGATGTCAATTGGGTAGATGGTGTTGGCAAAAACATAAGGACGTTAGCTAGGTCAACAGTATCTAAAGTTGTGTCATACACAATAGTGAAAACAGCAGACATGAAGGGCGAAGGTAATATGAATGGTGGCAATGTAATAAACAATGACGGCAGATGTCACTATGGTGGTGTAGTGGATGGTGGACAGTGACCTATTGGATGTATCCAAATTCCATAAAAAATACTATGCCTTCGTTTGAATTCCATGGATATATTCCAATGCATGTCAAGAATATATTCATTGAAATGATAATGCTAGCTAAATATGCATGCCCCACTAATCAGAAAATAATCAGCTATATGTAACAATCATATAGCAAGAGCAATAGCTAAAAGTTGAATTTTTCTGAACACTAAATTAAAAAAAAAAGATTAGAGAGAGTCGCCGAATGTAGGCCATTAAAAGAGAAGCATAATACTAAGTTAGATGTTGCAGAGATGAGGATGTTCAGGTGGATGGAGTGGCTTTACCCTTAAAGATAGGATACAAAATAAACATATATGTTAAAAGGTTGGAGTAGCTCCAGTGGAAGATAAGATTTAGAAAGAGTCACCTTAGATGGTTTGGTCACATAAAACGGCGGTCTTCCGATGGCCCGGTTAGGAAAGTAGAGGTATTAGATTTGACTTATGTTAAGAAAAGTAGAGGTATACCTAAAAAGACTTGGTTATAAAATATTAGAAATGATCTTTCTTTATTAGAATTAAAGAAGAATTTGACTTTTAACAGGACACAAAGGAGAAAAATGATTCATATAGCCGACCCCACATAGTGGGACAAATGCTTGATATCGTTGTTGTTGCTGTTGTTGTTGTTGTTGTTGTTGTTGTTGTAATAAATAAATAAAATTAAAAAAAATAATTGAAGGAATGTGCTTAAATTGAAGGTACAGAAAGAAAAATGTTTCATGTGTACCTGGTAAAATGGAGTTTTGAGAACTTTAAAAAGTAGAAACTGGAAAACATTTCTTGAGCAGATAGTTTCTAGGCATGCTTGAACAGGTGTCAAATCTCTTGAATCCGAAGCTAGCGTACTCTCCATAGCAGCACCATGATCCTGGGTATATATAAGATGCACTGCCCATGCAAGTCTAACAACATCTATGAATCCTTCAACATTTGGATAGTTGCCCTGTGTCATTACCTAGATAACAGCACTATAAGAAATCGAGAAAGGTGTCTGCTTAAACAAAAACCAAAAAATAAAATATCAAAACTGAATAGTAGTTTGCCTTACTAATTTCTGGAACTCCGTCCTAAAGGTGGCATCATGGGACAACAGAGATGTTTTCACAAAACTTGAACTCAAAGCATCAGATACAAAGGAAATCACAAGAGAGAACATTAAACTGATTGTGATCTGCAGTAGATAAAAAATATGAATATAAGGAAATCAAGGTATGATTACCAAAACAGCCCAGTTAAAAGAAAACATAATAACGCTCAGGGCTCAGAGCAAGGTATTTATAAGGATCATGAAAAATGAAGATTCCCAAGTTCCACCCTGTAAAACACCGATTCTATAAATGGGAAGCAAAAAATTGGCACTATGTGAGACCTGAAGTTTTATAGTGTTATCACTTTCATCAACTTCAGCAGCACAATCTCTTAGCACAGAAAACACATCTTTGACCTCTTTTGGACCTGCAAATCAACAGCAGGGTAAAATTGATATTTGATTTTCTTCCATGTGAAGGGAGCCTTTCTGAAAAAATTTCTTCATCTAATTAAAGCAAATAAGTGGCAACAGAAAACGAAGATAACTGTTTCCTGGAACACAAAGCAGGCCAATAGCCACAGTTAAATAAGGTAAGCCTTCGATAAATTACATAAATAATAATATAATATAAGAAAAAAAAAACTAAAATGTCCTACGCCTTTGTCCAAACTAATGAGGAAGGAGTAAAAATTTGAATGGACAACTGTGTGAGAAAAGCTTTCAGGAATTGAAAGAGCATCTGATGACAGCCCAGTATTGACTTTTCCCTCGGGAACATAAAGATTTCAGATTTAAAGTGATGCCTCTTTGAAGGGCTTGGGATGTGTTCTAATGCAGAATAGAAAGGTGATTGCTTATGCATCTCGACAGTTGAAGCCTCATGAAAGAAATTATCCCACCCATGATTTAGAGCTGGCTGCAGTGGTATTTGCTTTGAAGATTTGGAGACATTATCTATATGAAGTAAGATGTGAAATTTTCACTAACCACCAGAGTCTAAAATACATATTTTCGCAGAAAGAATTAAACTTGCGACAAAGAAGATGGTTGGAACTCATTAAAGATTATGATTTGGATATCCAATATTGTCCATGAAAAGCTAATATTGTGGCTGATGTTTTAAGTCGCAAGTCTTCAGGGATGATGAACATGATGATTACTCAGGAGGTTCAATTGATCAAGGAAATAAAAAATTCACAATTTGAGATTAAAAACTTTAAAAATGTGGAATATTTACATTAAATGACCATAAAGCCCACTTTAACAGATCGTATCAAAGAAGTTCAAGAGCTTAGTAGTGAATCTTCAAAATTGATAGAGCAGATCCAGTCAAGGAGAAGATTCGATCTTTTTGTTGATGTTGATGGAACCATTAGGCATAAATCCCAGTTGTGGGTACCCAGTGATCCGGAGTTGAGAAGAGAAATTTTGCAAGAAACTCATCATTCTGGCTATACAATTCATTCGGACAGTACAAAGATGTATAAAGACTTGAAAGTAATATTCTGGTGGTCGGGTATGAAGAAAGATGTTGTTGTTTATGTAGCTAAGTATGAAGCATGTCAAATTGTGAAAGCTGAACATCAAAGACATAGTGGATTACTGCAATCACTACATATCCCCGACTGGAAGTGGGAAGAAATTGCAATGGATTTTGTCATGAGATTTCCCAGATCTAAACAAGGACCCGACAGAATCTGGGTGATTATTGATAGACTAACAAAATCAGCTCACTTTTTGCCTATTAAGCAAAATGATTCAGTAGACAAATTGGCACGGCTATATGTGAAGGAAATTGTCAGATTACATAGTATTCCAAAAGTCATTATCTCAGATAGAGATGGTTGAATTACTTTGAGACTATAGAAGAGCATTCATGAAATCTTGGGTACAAATCTGCATTTCAGTGCAGTTCTTCATCCTCAGACTGATGGGAAGCTAGACCGAACCTTGAATTGGAAAGCTGAAAGGGTGCGTGCATAAACTTATAGACATCATATGACTTGCTTATAAATATTGAACTATGAATAAGATGGAAAGTAGTTATGCATTTCTTATAGCAAGTATGTAATTTACGTTTATTTTAATTGTTAATAATGTTGTTATTATTTCTCATACAATGCTTGTGTATTTCATTGGGTCATAGCTCATTGGTAGTTGTTGTACTGCAGGTAAGGGAAAGGAGCCTGTAGAGCATTAAAGGGGTGATTGTCTTTCTTTTGATCTACATACTTTTTGGGTATACACAGAGGTTCAAGTGTAAGCTGTACAAAGACTTTTTGGTATGTAAATAGATTTTAAAAGTTTTAGTAGAGCTCTGTATTTGTTTTAATTATGTGCGATGTTCAGTAAAGTATATTATATGCTTCCCATTATGATGTTCGGAGTTGATAGGTTGACATGTTAGGAGAGCCTAAAAAGATTTCTTTTCTTCTCTGTTATACTCCAATTTGAATGTTAGATGGTAAGCCAAACTGGGGTGTGATAGTTGCCCTCCACGAGGGACTTCAATCCATGAGCCCGGATCCATCTTGCGGCTGGTGGAAACAATGTTATCCTCCCATAGAATTTTTCCTCTCCATAACTCACACAGAGATCAAGAAAAATGCTTCAATTCTTTTTTTATTAATAATTCATCATTACATTACACAAGCAAGGGTCTCTATATATAGGCCTAAGAAACTAAAACAAGACATATCTGCCCCTAGGGCTTACATAGAACGACCCTCTTAAGTGAAAGTAAAAACGAAAAATTCATAATAAAAATAAAAATTACAAATAAAATTTAAGATAACGTGGGACGATGACGGTCGTCGATCTTCAGCTCCTCAGATAGGCATGGACGGTTGGATGTTCACATCATTTTCTCGGGGTGGAAAAGATCTCGACTCCGTCGAGTTCGCATCCCGAGTGAGCAACCATGCTCTGATACCAAACTGAAGTAGAACGAAGGGGGGGTCATGTGAATTTGGAATTTTCAAATTAATTGGAAAAGGGAGGGAAGGGGTCATCCAAAGAGAGGGAAAGAGGATAGGGTGTCCAAGTTCAATGAATGTGGAATTTGAACTTATTCCCGATTAATTTCTGATTTATCCAATCCTTGATTGAAGGAAGGCTTTCCAAAATTAAGCTAAATAATTTAGGAAAGAATTTGAAATTTCAAATTCGTTTGAATTTGAATTTGAAAATTAGAACAACTTAATTTAGGAAAGAAAAAATTTTAGAGGGAAAGGGTTTTGATTGAGAGCATTAATTGAGGAAAATTCATTAATATATGAGGAAAAAGGCGGGCAGCCAAAGGAGGGGGAGAGATGTCCACATACGATGTATGTAGCCCAAGGCATTAAATGAGATTTGATATTAAATCTGAAATTGATTTCAGATTTAGAGAAATTATGGGAAGGTTTCCAAAAATATATTTGTTAATTCGGAAAGGATTTGAAATTCAAATATCTTTGAATTCAAATTAGAAACTTTTCAAGTTTACAATAGATTAATTTAGGAAGATAATAAATAGGCTATTTTGAATTCAAAATTTGTGGAGGGAGGAGGCTAGGAGTGAGGTGGTCGGCTGGGTATGGAGGTGGAGGGATTGATGTTTGATCCAAAAGAAAAGTTAGCCAAAATCAAACAAAATAAAACAAAAACAGATGGTGAATGGTGGAGACTAGAGATGAGAGAACGGAGAACAAAGAAAAAAATAAAATAAAAACGATACAAACCATGAGCTCGGACTCTTCCTGCGGCTGGTGGGTACTGCGTTGTCCTCCCCGAGGGACTTCAATCCACGAGCCCGGATCAATCTTGCAACTGGTGGAAACAAGGTTGTCCTCCCATAGGACTTTTCCTCTCCAAAACTCACACAGAGATCAAGACAAATGCTCCAATTCTTATTTTATTAATAATTCATCATTACATTACACAAGCAAGGGCCCCTATATATAGGCTTAAGAAACTAAAACAATACACATATGTCCAGGTGTACCGGGGGAAGATATACTTCATGGTGAATGGGTTGAATGAGGAGGAGAAGTTTACGACTGCAGAGCTATGTTTGGAAGGGAAAGTTCTAGCTTGATTCCAGTGTACGATAGCAAGGCCACTTATTGAGTGGCTAAAGAAAGCCATGAACAGCATCCCATCCTTCCACCTTGAGGACAATGTTCATCTTTTGGGGGGAAGTATTGTTATGACTGCAGGCCAAGGGAGGCTAGCCCGGCCGACCCAGCAGGCAGTGGAGGGGGCGGAACCTGAAACAAAATGCAAGGAGGTTTCGGCATCTCTTGTGGGACCAAACAAAGCAATAAATCATTATGTTATGACGGAATTAAGGAAGAAAATATCTCCTATTCGAATTCAAATAGCTGAGGGAAATTAATTAGGAATGAAGGCTACTTTAGGGGTTGAATTGACGGGGATTAATTAGGAGATGTTTCCTAATTAAAAAGAGCAAATTTGGGGGCTGAATTTGAGATTAATTAGGAGATACTTTTTAATTAAAGAGGGTAAATTTGGGGGCTAATTTCGGGCTGAATTTGAGGAGATTAATTATGAGATATTTCCTAACTAAAGAGGATTGATTTGGGGGCTGATTTGAGAGGAAATTGTGGGAGGGTTGTTTTGTAATTTGTTGTGTTATTGTTTGTTATAAGTAGTAGGATTTATGTTATGTTTGTATGCAAATTTTGATTTAAGAGTGTTGTAGTTTTCTTTTTGTGAGTGATACTAACGGCGTTTAGGGTTTGCAAGAGAAGGTCCTTCGGTCGAAAGAGAACCATGGTATCTTACTTTTTTCTTTGTTGTTGTTTTTGGTACCAAGGCGCGTCAAAATCCTAATTTTACATCTTCCACAAATTGAGTTTGATTTGAGTTATAGGATTGAAGACTTGAATGAGGAGAGATCAATTTGTGGTAAAAATATTATTTGATGTTAATTGATTTAGTTTCGATGAGGCTAATTAGGAATTTATCATACAATTGAGAAAATTGTTATTATTAGATTGTTTACGGAAGAACAACATGTCAAAGTGATAGAAATCAAAATATTCATGCGGAAGAAGATCATATAATTCATGTGAGAAACTCGTTCTCTAATAAAGGGAGCAAATTATTCCCATGACCTATTATTTGTCAAATTTTATAATTTCATTGAATTATTATGGATGTCAACCTTAGAGTATAAAAATTGAATATATGGAGTGTAACTTTAGTAGTAATAGACCTAGTGAGGGGATTGCGACTTTAGGCGATCAAGTCATTAATAAGAGTACATGTTTTAGATATCTTGGATCTATTGTTCAGAGTAATGGTGAAATAGATTAGGATATTATCAAAAGAATTCAAGTTGGATAGTTGAAGTGGAAGAATGCATCAGGCTTATTGTGTGATAAAAAAGTATCACTCAAACTTAAGGGAAAATTCTATA